TATCCTGGTGTGCTGGCAAAGGCAAATAAAACTTCAATTATAACCAAAACAAAACAAAAAAAACCTCAATCAAACCCACAAAGCAACACCTGCTTGCTATGTGAAGAGAAAAAGATAGAAAAGTGACAAGATGTTGCTTTCACTGAGGTAAAAACCAGCTTCAGAGGTTAAGAAAGAAGACAGGAAATAGCTAATGTCAATAGTCCCAGGGAACTCTTGAAGATGAAGTATGTCTATTTCACTAGGTCAAGTAATGAACGAGGAAAGGAAAGCTGCTTCCATCTGGCGAAGTCCAATGAACTTTAATTTAACTAAGTAAGCAACACTTCCTAATTTTTACCTGCTTTGGGAAAGAACTTCTGGATTCATAACATGAAATAACATTAAATTGTTATTTCATCCATCATCAATGATTTGGCATGCTTGGACACAAAATATTAATGAAGGAATAAAGGCAATTGCACCAAATTTCAAGATGCCAAAGTTGCGATGATAATAATTTAGAATCCAATTACCTTCTTCAGGCTTAACACTAAATCCTTTACTCATGCCTTTCGTATTAAAAATTCCCACTGAACTAAGGTCTGATTTTCGTGACTGTATCTAGAAGATTTGCTGGAGAAAGGGTTTCAGGCCCCCAATTCCTCCTTATTAAAAAGTCCAGGAACGATTTAACTATCACAAACACCATCCACAAGTTCTGACAGTAAATTTAACATCAGTTTAAGAGAAAGAGATCTTGGGTAAAAACAGGTTTGGGATTCACAAACCTTCACCAGCTCAAGTGGGATGGATGCAAAGGTCACCCACCGTCCCTAACTTGGGAAGCTGGGTGCCAGTTCTGTGGTGCTGCACTCGTCAGGAGCCACAGCTAAATCTGAGACACCAGGAAAGGGTCACAGCATAGCCCAAGCTATAACCAATGGCTCTCAACTACTAGGACAAGCCTTAAAAAGTCAGACTTGCCCCTTGTTTTGAGTATATCCTCCAGCAAAAGCAGCAAGTAAACACCCAGGGAAGTAACATTATCAGTCACACCAGAATGATGATCCACAGCACGTGAAGAACTCTTGCATGGTGTGGATACATCTGCATCAGACAACATGGTACAGGGCAGAAGTTTCCAAGGTATGACTGACTTCAGGCAATGAGTTCCCAGTGCAGGACAACAGCCCAAACTTGCAAAATGCTGGGTAGGGTGACCAGGCCTACAAGTGAACTGGAAGTCAGGTACCTAATCTGCATAAGTGTTAACAAAAATCCCAAGAAGCTTCTAACTTCTTAGTTTTATTATATACCTCTAAATGACTTGGAAGTAGCACTCTCAGTGCCTCCATCAATTTTGAAAATGGCATTTAGGTGATTTTTAAGATTTTACCTGCTCCAAGAAATTTTCAATTACACACAGACCTGACCAAAACTATAGCTCTTTCCTTGAAATTCACTAAAGGCTGAATTTTTCCTCAAAAATGTATCTCAGGAGTGAGATGCAAGCAACCCTAGACTGATTTCTAAATCCAACCTCCAACAAAGCAAAATGAGTGTTTGTTTAAGGCCACTGTAAGGGAAAGTTTGAGCTCAAAGTCAATCCTCATACAAAGTCTGGAAATTTAGTTTAGGCCATCTCTGCCAGCAATTCAAAACCACAAGCTGAATTGTGTGTGCTGCAAATAAAACTGACTCTAGAGTGTCCAGCAGGACTTCTGTGTGTGCAGTCACTCAGAAATGTATGCTTACACTACTGGTTAGAGAAATGAGAAACATTCAGAAACACTCAACAATACAACATTTAAATTCATCAATGTATAAATGGCACAGTCAATCACTAAACAAATGTGGAGGGGGGGGAAAAATTACATAAATTGCATTACCATCACAATCAAAGAAATACATCACAGAGAAACTATATCCTGTGTGAGGTTTTATTATGTAGCCACTAGGGAAAAAGTTAAGATACCTAAGACCTGCCAATGCAGCAAGCCAAGTATGGCTGCAGACACATACTGGGACAGACCATGGACACTAAATCATGGCTTCTTAAAATGTATGATTTTGCTTCTTTGAAACTCCTGGTGGAATCTCCTACTGGACTACCTGCAACTTGAGTTCTACCTCAGTAAAAACTGAAGGGTCAAATTATTCATGTGTAGATAGCTGCTCTAAATATTTCCATTTAAAAAAACTTTGTAAATAATCGACTGCACTTAAGCTGGCAGCAAAAATAACTGTAACTTTGTAAATAATTGACTGCACTTAAACTGTCAGCAAAAATAACTGTAACTTTCCTAATCTAGTTACAAAACAATGGCAAAAATACCACATAGTCACTTAAAAATAACCATTTTACCAAAGCTGAATTTTCCTTTAAACAATCTCCAGGCAAAGTCTGCAAAACAATTATCTAGTAGACCGTATCCATAAATATGAAGAAAGCACCAAAAATGCTTTATTCAGAGTTCGTAAAGGCTTGCTCAAGGTATTTGTATTTAATCATCACTGGTAACCTGAAGCCTGAGCCTTCAGAGTATCCAAGCTAAACACCCGTTTTTCAGTGACACTGAGCTGCTGCTTATCAATCACAAATATGTTTAGAATAATAAGCCACAAAACATAAAATATATATATTTTTAGTACTTTTTCATACATTGGTCCCAATAACTCTTAAGGGCTTACAACAGAACATGGCTGAGATCATATACAAACAGTTTGGAAGAATTTAAATTAAAATTTAAATTAAATAACCACATTTTAAAGACGTGTCCCCTGCGGCTAAAAGAAATTCAAAACCCCATTCAAATAAGCAAATAACATTTTTTTTTTACATTTACAAATGAAACATCATATGAGTATTTATTGATTTTTTAAAAAATTCAAAAATACATTGTAACAGAACAGAATGTATACGTTCTTCAATGAAAGACAAAACTATGTTTATCATCCAGACCAGAATACAAACACATGCTAACAATTTTAAAATCATTTTGGGTCACTCAAAAAACATGAAACAAGATAGCTGTTTGCAAATGCAGTAGTTTTCTGCTTGGTAAGTATGCCTGAGAAAGTTAACCTGTAAAGAAATCAGCTTTTAAACTTAAACACAAAGACCTTTCTAGGCTGAAATGGTGAAAAGAACTGTGATATGCACCTGACAGGCCACCGAGCCATTTCCCACAGAGATTCTGTTCACTGCTCCACCTCGGCTCAGCCACCCAACAGTGGCAGAGATACCAGGCTTATTCAAGCCAGGTGTTAAAAAACATGCTAAGATGATTGAAAGCCATCAGTTACAGACACAGTGGGTAGACGTTAGTAACTGAGATTCTCTACCAAACTTCTTGATTTGTGTCAGAGCCAAGTAAAAAGTAGTAGTCTAGTTTACGGATGAAACGGATTATATTTTTTGGCTCAAGGTAGGACCCTTTAAAAACAAATTCTACATAAGCATCTAGAATCAAAGCATGAAAAAAACCAGGACAAACACAACTAATCATTTTACAGTAACCACATACTTCAGGCAAGTAGGAATCAAAACAGTAACATAAATTGTGCATTGGTTCTATGAAAATGACATGTTACTAGTAGACACAGGCAATCTGAGGAGAGCAGTGAAAACTCCACGGTTTGAATTTCTTTTCATCGGAATCCATTTGTTTCTACTGCAAGCAGGTAACAAATGGAACTCGGGAAAACTGATTTCCTATTAGCAGCTTAACTCTACTACAGTGAGGCTAAGACTTTACCGTTTCTTGCATTAAGGGATATTCAAACTAATGAATAAAAAAAGACATTTTAAAAATGAAGACCAAAGGAAAGCTGAATGTATATTTTAGACAGAAACAGTGTTAGGTCAAATCCACAACTGGTAATGTCTGATGTGCACAAATGTAATTTAACTGCTGCTTATGCCAACAGAACATCTGACACTATTTATCAAATACTAGCAGCCTCTTTTAAATCACTTTCAACAACTGCACACTTAGTAAATTACATGGGCTTTGATGAAGAAAACCATTATCAGTCATGCAAAAATTCTAACAGAAAACTCTCATTTCCAGAATTTGGTTTACATGATCAAATTACATATGCTAGAACATACAAACCCCACTTTTCAAATGAAACAAATTCACAACTCTGGAAAGGAAAAAATACAAACCCAAACCAAAAACCTACAACAGGAAAAAGAATATTTCTACATAGCTGGTCCTATCCTCTGATGCTGCAACACAGTAAAACAAGCTACTATCCATACACACATGTAATTTGCATGTAACGGTGATTGCGAAGAGGCTTCCTTTCCCCATCTTCCACATTGCAGCAATGACTGATGTACTACAGAAGCTGCCACTGTCCTACGAAATGCAGGGCATTTGCCATTGCTGGATACAGGTCATCAGTGCTGAAGTGATTCAAGCGCTGACCCAGCACAGTACATCTTACATTCTCTAGTATTGACTGTGATGTCAAAAACATTCTGCATTGCTCTGACACCAGGTCTGCTCCCAGGCTGCACCTTCTGATCAAAATGTCATTCTACAGGTTACAACTAAGAGGTGCAGGGTGGGAAGCAGAATAACAGCTTTAATGACCTATCCCAGAAGACAAACGCAAAGTTAAGGTGGTGCGTTTGTACCTTCTGGATCAGAGGCAAAGAGAGAAACCAATGCCAGAGCAGTATGTAAAGCTTCTAATGCCAAGAGGTGAAGAGTCTCAAAGAAGTGCAAGTAAAAAGCATAATTTCAGCCTGTAATTATTTAAGGAAAATAAGCAGAGAAAAATGGCCTACAGTAAAGTGAATGGAAAGAAGGAAGGAGCAAAAAAAGAGAAGGAAGGGCATGTGTATTGGTGCAGGGTTGTATTTCCTGGACCCAGAAACTGCCTTGGACACCAGCTAATTTTACAAGATAAGTTACATGCATGCCCACACTGAAGAGGGCAAGAGTGAAATTTTGAGAGCAATGCTATGATTCTGGCTGAAGAGCTTCATTTTCCCCCTCCCATACCTGAAAGCCTTGAATCCTTGCCAAATACTCCAGCTGTTTTGAAGGCTGCACTGTAGAACAGGGGGAAGCAGGAGATATTCCTTTTAGACCTATGGCTTCGGCAGTTGGGGACGTTCCATTCATGAGAAGTTCCCTGGCAATTGTAGCTGTGCTATTTGTTGTAGGAGATATGCTGAAGAAAGAGCTAGAAGTCTGGCTCATTTCTTTGGAGGACAAATAGCTTACAGTGGTACCAGGGGCTGATTTGTTGCGGCTGGCTTCCATCTCTTGGTAGACATCAGGAGAGAGATGGAGAATTCCCTTTGGTGCTAAAAATAAAAAGAGATCATTCTCATTACTCTAGAATGGGTTTGAGAAGTAGACGATTTTCATTAACATATTTTGCAGTGGAAAACAAAGTAAGCATTTAAAAGCAGTATTTTTTTTTCCACAGTAAATGTAAATGAAATAGCATAATTTATTCAGAAACAAAGCAGATCTGAAGTGGCTCTCTTCCTCTTCTCCTGCTTTTTTTAAGCAGATACAAACTTGGACTATCCATGGCTAGCACAGAACACACAACATGAACAAATAAGGCCTGGAGATCTACAAACCACACGGAACAGCTGCTACTTCAAAACAGTAGCGTGATCATAATTTCACTGCAATCTTCTGCCTCCTACCCGATACAATAACTTAGGCTGTTACTTCACAAATAATTTAAACCAGCCTATGTCAGCAGCGTCACCACCAGAAGTAGTTCTCTTCTTTCCAATCTACAGCTGCTCCTTGTACTCTCCAGCTGCTCTATTGCTCGTGCCAGCGCCAGCACCTGTAGAACCACACAGTGATGTTCAAGAGAATGAGCCATTGGAGAGGAAAGGAGAGGGCAGGATGATTTCCTGCAGTAGCCACAACACATCAGGTGCTGGCTTGAAGTGTTTGCCAAATTACAACAGCAGCCTGTGCTTAAATAACCTTAAACTGCCCTGCATACACACTGATACTGTGCTAATGATTGACTCTTCATCAGTGAAGAGGAAAATACATTTTTTTAATCTAGCTGCATATATGGCTTCCTACAATTTGCAGATAGCTACCTGGTTTGGACAAATTTATACTTAACAAGGCATGCATGTATCTGTCATCATTCAAGAGAACTGAGGTGAACATTAAGAAGATCTACACTTACTAATGCCTACATTTCAAGCATTTTAATATAGTCTTAGAAAATTTCTCAACCCTAGACCTGCTTGAAAACAGAAGCACATACTTGATTGGTTTTGCTGATATTCCTGTGCATGTGTAGAATTAAGGATGAAATTTGCTAGTTTTCATATACAGTAAAGCATTTGTTGGAAACATGAGTACCCAGTTTGCTGATACAAGAGGAAAACCTCTTTCTTATTATCAATAAATTGAATAATGAGCTTGAAAAGTGTAATTTCATATTAATAGCATACTTTAATCTTCTAGCATATATCTGAAAACAACACTGGTGAACCTGAGCCATATGGCATTTCATTTTAGGGATGATAAACCTGTTTGTTATCTGATTTAGTAATCCCAGGAGAAATCAAAGGGTTCAATGCTTAATTAATTTGCAGTATATATTAAATTAATCTCAGAATGCAGAATAAATTCAAAGAGTAGAAGAAAATTAATTTCCAGTTTCCTAGAAAGGATTCCTCTAATCCTAGTAGTGCAAGTAGTATTTTTAAATAAAATGTCTACCAGAAGGATAAGACTAAAAAAATATTACCAGTAATTAATACCCTCATTTTCCAACTACATAGTGAAAATTGAACTTCCTCACTGCTGGCTCAGCAAACTGCTTATAGGTGAATCTTTTAATCGATTTACTCACACATTTGGCTTTTAAATTAATATTGCTTTCAGGGAGTTAGAACATTAGCTTATACCATTCGTAAAGATGTATCGTTTATTCCCCTCACTGTTCTCCCCACTGCCTTTGTGGGGATGTGGTGCCTAGTTGGACCCTAAACTCTAATGCCAGAGGTGTTTTACTCAGTCTTAACAAATAGCTTCAAAGCCAGTGGACCCTGTGCTGAACTCTAGAGCTAAGCACATATTCAAGACAATGCTACTGCGAAAAATTGAAGGACAGGGTATCTAAAATTTCTTTTTCTTTATTTGGGACACTTTAGAATACCCTGTTTTTACTTAATATGCTGTTGTTACTACAGGTAACAACTATATAAACATGATGCTTTATTTATAGCACATAATCACTGTATGATAGTGATTCTATAACCTTTTTCTGAGGCTCTAACCTTCAAGGCCTATCACTGCTCATACTTTTAAATAGCCTCCTACAGGAGATAACACAAATGATACATATATGTATGTCATCATTAATTATATATAAAATATATAATACAGATATTGATAGTTCATATTAGGTTCTAAAACCAAACAGCAACAAGAACAGTTGTTAACTAATAACCTAACAATAGTGAGTGGCAGGTGTTCACCATATCCTAAGACCTGCCCACTGTAAATCTGATTTCTGACAAGTATTTGAGAAACAGAAATGAAAACTGAACAAAAGGAAAAACAAGATACTTGTTCAGATATATTATTATATTAGGCTCCTTCAAATCAATTTTAAAAAAACATAGTACAATGTTAGCTTAAAAAAAGTTTAAAGACATTTAAAACCAAGTCTGGTGCTGCAGATGTCTGTTCCATTGATGTAATATTACTTAAAACAAACATTTTACATGCTTTCTCAGCCATTTCACTGTTTTTACATGATCCACCCAAATATCTAACTGCTGTCTGGAACAATGGTTTGGAATACTTCCAGATTACCAAGCTTTCTAAATGTTAAAATAACTAATATGCAGCATATGATGAATAAAAAGATATTGAGCAGAGTATAGCAAATGCTCCTAAAGTACTGACTTTACTCTAATGGTGATGTTAAATTAATAATAGTACTTTTATACTTACGCAACACCTTTCTGCTAAAGACTTCAAAGTGCTTTATAAGCAATAATTAATTTAAATCATACATTGGCTCTGAGAGGCAGATATTATATTACCATCATTGATTATCTCTGGAAACAAAGTAATGTAATATTGCAGACATTACATTAATATAGTTGCAAGCTATTAACTTTTTATATTCAGAGCCTATGTTTCATGAAGCTTCTTACAATCTTGTTTTTAAAAGCCAATACAAACCTAACTCTTTGAAAACTTCTATCAAGTATATATTAATTTTAATTCATTATCTATTTTTAATACATTATTGAGGATTTTTAAAAATATCATTCCTCACTGTCGCTGCTTACTTCAACTCTGTTGATTTTTACCAGTGTTTACATATATAACAGTTTAGTTACAGTAGTAAGGATGTTATCACAAGACAAAGAATATGACATCAACAGATGAGTAAGTATAAGAACAGAACCTCTTCAGCAACTAGTCAGTCTTTAAACAACCACTTCAATAAAAAAAATGGGAGAAAAAAATACTACCCTCTAACACTTCATGCATTGCAGGAGAACATTGCTAGGTTAATATTTTAATATTTTTGTTAGTCTTTCACCTGAAAAGAAATTAGATTTTGGTGGCTGCTAAATATTTATCCCTTACTAACTTCACCATACTCCAAAAGTAGCATCATAATTATTAGGAGTCACAGTATCCATAATACTAGAATTTAGACCAACAGCATTGTACCTTCTGCTGGACATTAACTTCAAGGTACATTCATGAAACATGGTAAAATCATTTCCATTTATATTATTTAAACCTGTGGGCAAATGTGCTATGAAAATATGCAGGCTAGCTATGCAATATAATCACTAATATTTGAAAAACACGTCTTACTCATCCTTAGCAGTAATTGTTAGCAGTCCCTCGCAATCTTCTGAAGTCTCCGAAAACCCCACACCAAAGACCTCTCTTACCTAAGAATACATTTCTTGATCTTCTATCACCTGCTTTTGCTGCCACGTACTAGACAACCATAAAAGTTTAGACTCCAAGGCAAATGTATTATTAAGATACCAAATAGCCCAACTACCCTTCACAAGCCTTCCCCTTGAAGTCTCATCTTGGTCCTTTGATCCCACAGATTTGCATAGCAGCAGAGGTAGAGACACTGAGTGGTCAGGGTTGGAAGGGACCTCTGAAGATCATCTACTTCAACCTCCCTGCTAGAGCAGGATCACCTACAGTAGATCACACGGGACAGGTTTTGAATGTCTCCAGAGAAGGTGAGTCCACAGTCTCTCTAGGCAACTTGTTCCAGTACTTTCTCACAGTAAAGAAGTTTTTCCTTATGTTTAACTTGGAACCTCCTATACTCCAAGGCCAACTACCCCTTGTCCTGTCATTGGACACTGCGGAAAAGTGACTGGATCCATTCTCCTGACACCTGCCCTTTAGATATTTATAAGATCCCCTAGTCTCCATCAGGATAAACAGACCCAGCTCTCTCAGCCTGTCCTCCTAGGACAGATGCTCCATTCCTCTAATCATCTCTGTGGCCCTGCACTGGACTTCCTCCAGTAGTTCCTTATCCTGTATGAACTGGGGAGCCCAGAATTGGATGCAGTCCAATAATCCACTGGAGTTACTTTTATCCCTAACCCCTTCTCTATAGGGTCCCCTTGGCTGGGAAGATGGGGGGTGCTTTCTACAACAGGGTCCCTCCTTGTTTGGAGCTTCACTCCTGGAGTTAATGGAAAACAAAACTAACCATCCTTCTGCATGTGGAATAGGGTGAGGAAGGTGAATGACTGACAGTATCACACCAAAGAGCTTCAATGTAGTAAGACTTCACAAAAATGGAATTTGCTGATACAGGGATAGTGACAAGTTAGGCCACAGCAGTGGGTACTCAGTTAAGAAAAGTTCAGTGATGCCAGTGTTGCCAGCAAACTCACATATATTAACATCTACACTGGTACGCCTGGTGCTCCATTGTAATTCTTCTCTTTCTGTCAGAAAGATCAGAAAACATGAAAAGCTGATATTTCAACGTTTATCATGAAAATCCAAGAGATGAGATACAGAATCACAGAATCGTCGCAGTTGGAAAAGACTCCTCAGGTCACCAAGTCCAACTGTCCACCCAGAGGAGAAAAAAAAAATCCACAAAACCATGACAAAACCACAACCACACACCCCACAAAATCAACAAAATCAACACAAAACCCAACAAAAAAAAACCCCACTACGCATGCCCTTAAGTTCCACATCTACACATTTCTTTAACACCTCCAAGGATGGCGAATTCACCACCTCCCTGGCCAGCCTGTTCCAGTGCCTGACCACTTTTGGTGATGAAATT